CAAAGTAGCTGTAGGCTAATTTCTATGTTCACCGATATCGCACACTTCTTCCGAGGCAGACTTTGAATCAGTTTTCGGATGTATCTGGCTCCCTCAGCGTATGCTAGAAGTGTATGTGCATTTATAAATGTATGTTTGGGTAAAATCCTTTTGGAGCTTTGGTTTTTAATTTCAATTAGAATAAACAAGGATGTGTGGGAATTGCATATTTGTTGCTCCTAATCAACATCAAGTTATTTATGGGGATGACAAGACAACATTATTTCTATCTTGCTGCTTAATTCTCTGTAAAGTATTGAAAAAAAACTATGTGGTAGTTTTTTGGTTGGAACAGTGCATGTTGATGAACACACCTGCGAATTTTAGCTAATTGTGGCTAATTTTCATTCGCTATCCCCACAGTCATACCCAAGAACTTGTTCACAATTAGGAGATCCTTTGTTCGTCCCATCCATCCATTTTCTTCCCCTTAGTCCATTTCTGGGTGGGGGGGCGTGGCAGTCAGAGCTGCACCCAGTACACATAGCCCCAGCCCCTCACTGATCTTTCAGTGGGGGTTCAGGCAAAGTGGGGTTAAGTGTCTAGTCCAAGGACACTACGACAGCAGTCATCAGTGGGAGTCGTGAAGTAGGTCTTGTGGTGGGCTCAAACCCACAACCTTCAGGCTCTAAGGCCAATGCTCTACCAACTGAGCCACTGCCGCCCTTTATTCGTCCCACAGTGGGGAAATGTTGGTGTTGCATCATAGGTTACAGCTCAAGGTAAATTAACAATAACGATACAAATTAAAATTAAATTAAATCTCTAACTCTATCATAAATAAAACAAGTACAAAATCTCTATCTTTAACATAATATCTCAATCTCTAACCCAGGATAGTCTTGCAAAGACCATCTCAGAATCTACTTTTCAGGAGCGTTTGTTCCCAAAAATCAGGAATGAGCTGTACCCCATTCGCATTTGCCATTTTATTTTTCATGAATGGATGTGGATACATTTGTCCCTTGTAATGTGATCCCAGTGTGCAATATGTGCAAAATGTATGCTTGAATGGGCAATCACCAAGTAAAACTAAACATGTTAAAAAGTTTTAATTATTGTTTTGTGTGCTAGTTTAAAGACAGCTGAGATTATTTCGACAGATATCAAGCCCCTCCAAAAAGCCATCCAGGGGGGACATGGGAGCAGGTTCTCATCAGGTCCTTTCAGGGACTCACTTTGGGAACCTTAGACGGTCCAGACCAGTGGAAAAGACCCCATTCATAATGTTGGCTGGCTCACTTACATCCAACTGTAACTTGGCCTGATGCAAGCGCTTCCATTAGTTACGGGATAATTATTTCTATAATGTTCCAGCCAAAGAAGTAAATGTGTAAGAGGGAAGTCTTTCAATAAGTCTTTTACGGACTAAAGCAACTTGGTATTCTTTACACTTGCAATTGGTCTTGATATACTGACAATAAACTTACACAAAGACAGATAATATAGAAAAACTCGACAAATCTTGACAAACCTATCAAAGTGCTTAATCAATACTGATAAATATTTATCTGCCTTATGCATTGGTTTTTAGGATGAATTAACCCTCCCATTACCAGACCACTGCATCCTCAATAATAATGGACATTGTCAATATGCTGATGTTACTGGTTTTCTTATTATTTCAGTCCAAGTCCTGGGAAAACAGCCAGGAAATAGTATGTATATGACTAAAGGTGTACTCGGATTAAGCACAGATATGTGAATCATGCTGGAGGCTGATGACTTTGCTGCCAGCGCCCCAGAAGGAGAAAAGTTAAAGTTGTGGTAAAAGTCAAGTCTCTGCGGTTTCCATCCTCTTGGCATTTGAAGAAGAGAGCTGCATCTGAAAAGGGTTTGCGAGGAGGTCAGTGCTCAGTCAACTGCTTGCAAAACTCAGGTTAAAAAACTTTCAAATATACAACGCGTAAAGTTCAAAGTGGGTGCGTTTGAGGCCCGAGAGAGAGAGCTTTGTTTGAGATTTGATGCAGTAGAAAAGACGGCATTAAGATTGTACACATATGATTGGACTAGATTCGGAAGATATTGTGGCAACACAGTGGCTGAGTCGATAGCAAACTCTCTTCTGGGTTCGAATCCCGGTTGGAACAGGGTCTTTCTGAGTGAAGTTTGCATCTTCTTCCCCCTGCGTTGATATCCTCCAGGTGCTCCGGTTTCCCTTACCACTAAAAACATGTACAATAGGTAAAACCTCCACCTCTGGTCCTGAACAAGCCAAGATGGGTTCCCGGGCACTGTACTACGAGAACCACTGCTCCTGAAGGACGCCTTGGTGGCATCAGGATGGGTCAAATGCAGAGGACAAATTTCCATACGGGGATTAATAAAGTGCACATTTACATTTAATCAATCATTCGCTGTGACGATGGACACACATCAATAAAGTAGTTATATTTTGTTTATTTACCGTACCTCAATTCAACTTTATTTCAGACTCTTAGTCCAATTCCAAAAGACAGTATGTACAAGTTTATTTGTAGAATCATAGAACAAATTAATCACAGTACATTAGAAAGAGTTAATATACAATCCTTCAGTTGTATGCACAGCTAAACATATCAGTATAGAAGCCTGTAGTTTTGAAGTTTGTATTTGTATTACATTATTCATACCAAGGGAAATTCATAATCCTTCACAAAAACAGGAGAGGAAGCATTAAAACTATACGTTCAAAACAGATAATTAAGACTTTATAAAGCTACTTTCTCTCTGTCATAAACAAACGGTGATGCATTTAAAAGACAGCTCTACCAGCCTTATTTAATTGTATATTGTTTTAGAATTGCTTTTTTAGGTCATGCTCAGAATATTGAAAAAAAAAAAAAGAGAAAGTGTTGCGTGAAGACAAATAATCATTCTCGTTTGACACATCGCCGAGGTTTGGTAATAGTGTCTTCATCGCATCTGTCATAAACAATCTGTGGTTTCACGCTCTGTAAGATTACTGCCATTGTCAAAACATTTCAAAAACGCTGTAGCCTAAGGAATCTTTTGAATAACTTCAGGAAAAACATAAAAAAGCATTAGTATTGGCGTTTGTTTGCGTTCTGTGGATCCTCAAAATATTGTAATGTACTTGTAATTCTTCTCGTCTTGTATTGTTTGTTTTTTTTTTAAGGTCATTTATTATGTTGTGAAAGCAGCCTCTGACGCTTTGAAAATGACTTTTGGCTTGTTTTTTTTACTGTCTCTGTCAAACTGTGCTCCGGGTTGTGGAAAGCGCTTTTAAATCCATCACGTTGAATAATTAGAACGTGAGGAATGTATGCAAATTATAGCAAATACGCTTGGACTATGCAAACAAAGAAATCAGGCCAACTATTTAAGTTTTTCACCATTATCATGCTCTAGTTTGGAATATCTAAAGGAGCAGTTTGTAAAAATCTGGCTGAAAGTGGTACTGAAACCTCTCCCACTCTCCCTGACTCACGTTGCCAGATATGCAGACGAATCCAGCTGGGACCATGATAACTGAATAGAGAAGAGTATCGACAACAACACATCTATAACACACACTTTTCTCACAAAGATACAAATCCTTGGTTTATTCCTTGTTTTGTCATTAATGATGAGACCATTTTACTTTACCAGTGAGATTAACTTGAGTTCTGGCAACCAAGATCAGGAAATTTCTGATTGGGAAAACGGTGGAGGGCGGGACATCAAAATGAAAACAGTAACAAGATTTAGGGGCTGTAAAATTAATTTTGAAATTAAAATATCTTGGCTGAACTATTGTTTTCAGACGTATTCGGAAAAGACATGATTTATTAATGCCTTTTGACAGATTAGGACCATTTAATGAAAATCTGGAACTTTTATGGTCCCATCTAATAGAAAACACTCAAATATATACTCTCAAATGATTCGCAAACAAAACAGTGACAACAGATACTTCTGAGTGAAAGAGAGTCAGAAAATTTGATAAGTTGAAGTTGCCGCAAATCTGCAACGCCTGCTTGGAGAGGGTTTAGTTATAGTTTTGTTTATTTCAAGCACACGAGTGGAGTTTGCATGTTCTCCCCGTGTCTGCATAGGTTTCCTCCGGGTACTCCGTTTTCCCTTACCACTAAAAACATGTCCAATACAGTAGTTCTGGCATGCGCCTCCTGTACTGTCGACCCCGCTCCCATCTATGTGTGGAGTGAGAGGACAAATGCCCAAAAAATAACAATTGTAAACCGCTTTGTGACTCTGGTCTGTGAAAGGCTGTATATAAATAAAGATTACTTACTTACTTAATTACGATGAAAAAGTATACATCATGCACAACAAGAACAATATTGAAATTGGTGCTGCTCTTCTCTCAGAAATCAGGGCAGATGTGACCAAATAAACACTTTATCACTCCAAACTCCAAACCTCCTCCACGTTATATCATTATTAGCAGCTCTGGCAAAGTTCCTAATGACTCCTGCCTTCGTATCCATCTTCCCACTGCCCTTTTTCCACCACGCTTCTGGCATCGGCTGCTCTTCCAGATGTGCGTTTGTGCGTGTGTGTGTGACCATAGCGAGTGGCGCCCCCTATTGCCTCACCGCTGCCAAGGTCGTGGTGAGTTAACGCTCCTTCAGACATGATCCAGGGGGGATTACAAGCGTGCTTTGTGTGTGTGTGTGTGTGCGCTTGTGTATGTGTATATGTGGGGACAAGTTTGTGTGTTTGTGTGTGTGTGTGTTTGTGTGTGTGACTAGGTAAATCGGCTGTTTGTTTTCCCTGACTTAAGAGCGTCTTCTGAGAGTTAGCAGGTTTACAGCTATTATCATTGGAATAAACAGTGGCTGAGCTCCCATGTCCTCAGTGCCCTTGTTAGACTTTTTGATAATACTGTTGTGGTCCAGGGTTTTAATGCAAATATTTGTTTTGCTGTGTGTGTGTGTTTGTGTTTTTGGTCCCAATTAGTGCTGCGTGGCGGTAATAGCTATTGCTAATGATTGGATTTGTTTGTGTTTGTTTTGAAGATACCTAATCCCGTCTCTGGATCGCTCTCACGCCGGCTTCTACAGATGCATCGTCAGGAACAGGGTGGGGGCGCTGTTGCAGAGGCGAACGGAAGTCCAAGTGGCATGTGAGTATCGGTTAATAGTTTGTTATGTACATGGCATTAAAGCTGGGGTAACTAACTTTTTTTTTCTCTCACAAATATCATGTTTTTTTTTTGAGCGGAAAGAGTCTTGAAAATTGAAATATTGTGAAATTAGACTACAACCTACTAAGAAAGAGCCCTATGAGTCACTATTTGACTCTTTGGGCTGAGAGCTTAGTGAGGGTTCTCTCTTTTTCCCAGTTTGGAAAAGTTGAGCTAAAACCATGATCTTCTAAAATCCTGGTATGAAGGAATAGAGAAATTAACGATATAAAAAACTCCCTAAAAATATATTCAGAGAAAAAGTTAATTACAAAGTTGTGCTCTAATAAATTTCTATTAAAATCAACTTAATTCAATTTATTTGTGTATAGCACTAAATACAAGACAGCATCTCAGGACTTTACAAAGCTGGCGATTCACTTACAACAGATAAAAAAGTCAAATAGGTTGAAATACATTCAGGAGCCATGACCAAAGTCCCTAAATGTGAGTAAATGTCCATAAAAGTTCCAAAATGTTCATGCATAATTTCATTTTCGACTTATATCAGAGAGTATGAATGATGACAAATTTCACAAGGCAATAACGATTTCCTGTATAATCCTTAATTTAATCTCGCAATTTGAGTATTTTCTGAAATTATGGAGTTTTATTTGTTTTATTTTGTTTTGGTATTTACAAACTCAAATCTGTCCTCCCAGTTTCTCTCATTCTAAGAAAAATGCCTCTGAAGCCAGATGTCGGGATTTGCAAACGTAAACGCAAAATAGATTACCTTTTCCAAAATGTAATTATAAAAAGATTTTTGACAGGATAAAGCGGCCGGTAGCGTGTTCCTTTGGGCAGTTGTTGAAATAACAGTGCTTTAGTTCAGGAGTAGAATATTCCTGAACTACTTTAAGCTCTATTACCACAGGCATAGTTTTGCATAGTCGGTCTCTTCTGCCTGTGGCCTGTGGGGAGCGCCATCTGCTGGAGGGGTGAAACATCCAGCCGCCCGACAGATGTTCCACTCAGCGTCCTCGTTAGATTCATATTGTTTTCTGTTGCTGTTTTTAAACTTTGCTTCATTTAAATATGACCGCAGCTTATTTCATTCTCTCTCCTTTGTCAACAACATCTGTCCCTGAGATGGAAGGGGAAAAAACAGATGTAATTTTAATTTCTGAAAGCTTCTTGTCTTGTTAGCTTGATGTGTTGAATCTGTGTCCATTGAAATAGCACCGGTGTGAACTTGATTGGTCTTATAATATGGATATTTGCACATATAGGACAACATTTGACATTTCTGAAGAATTTCTTGGTAAATTAATGAAAATAACTTGTTTATAATTTGATGACCTGCTAAGTAGCATTTTGAGGTAAAAATAATTATACAGAAATAAAAATGTATAATAATTGCTCTTGAAAATTGGTAAATAGTTTTATGTTTTTCTATTATCAAAATTAGCTTAGAACTATAGTATCGTGACATCTCTGGATAAAGCACTTCTTGGGGCAATTTCAGCAATTTATATATTCAAACATGTCCTCAAACCGGTCACTTATAACATTGAAACTCGTGGGATTGTGGCATAAATGTGGGTGAGGGCTACAATCTTTGGGAACAGAAATATATTTTGTTCCCGTCCCTTAGGGAGGAGATACTGGACGGAATTGAAAGTATTTATGGATATATTTTTACGTTCAGACTTACCTTTTACAATTGAATTGATCTATATGGGAAAACTTAGGCAAGGAAAGGCAAGGCAAGTTTATTTGTATAGCACAATTCATACACAAGGCAACTCAAAGTGCTGAACAAGATAGCATTAAAATCATAAATAATCACAGAACATTAAAAAGAAAGATAAAAATATAAAATCCCTCAGTTGTATGCACAGCTAAACAGCACAGTTTTTAACTTGGTTTTAAACATAGTCAGAGAGGAGGCCTGTTTCACATCCTCAGGAAGATTGTTCCAGATTTTAGCAGCATGAATCTGAAAAGCAGCCTCCCCATGTTTAGTTCTGACTCTGGGCACTAACAGGAGTCCAGTCCCTGTGCTCCTCAGAGTCCGGGCTGGTTCATATGGGACTAACATGTCACTAATATATTTTGGTGCGAGGCCATGGAGAGACTTGTACACAAGCAGAGCTGTTTTAAAGTCTATTCTCTGAGCCACAGGAAGCCAGTGCAGAGACCTGAGGACCGGACTAATATGGTCGTACTTCCTGGTTCTAGTCAGGACTCGAGCTGCTGCATTTTGAATGTACTGCAGCTGTTTTACAGCCTGTTTGGACAGACCTGTGAGCAGGCCATTGCAGTAGTCTAACCTACTGGAGACAAATGCATGGATAAGAATCTCCAGGTCTGCTTTAGACACTATGTTTTTGATCCTGGCAATGTTTTTTAGATGGTAAAAAGCTGCTGATGTTACTGATTTGATGTGGCTATTAAAATTTAAGTCTGAGTCCAGTATTACCCCTAGATTTCTGACCTTGTTTGAAGGTTTTAGGGAGAGAGACTGTAGATGACAGATGACGCTCTCTCTTTGTTTCTGGGGACCAAAGACAATCATTTCAGTTTTGTCTGCGTTTAGCTGAAGGAAGTTGTTTTGCATCCACTCACTGATCTGTTGGATACAGTGAAGGAGTGAGTCCACTGGTCCATGTTCTCCTGCAGTCAGTGAGACATAGATCTGAGTGTCGTCTGCATAGTTATGATAGGAAACTTTGTTTCTGCGTATTAACTGACCTAACGGCAGCATGTAGAGATTGAACAGAAGAGGTCCCAGGATCGACCCCTGTGGGACTCCACAGGTCAGGGCCATATGATCTGAGACACAGTTTCCAATCTCCACAAAGTACTTCCTGTCTTCAAGGTAAGACCTAAACCAACTTAGGGCGGTGCCAGCGACGCCAACCCAGTCCTCTAGTCTCTGTAAGAGGATCTCATGGTCGACGGTGTCAAAGGCAGCACTTAGATCTAACAGGATTAGGATTGAGACTTTGCCTGCGTCAGTGTTCAGCCGGATATCGTTTGTAACCTTAACGAGAGCAGTCTCAGTGCTGTGGTGGGGTCTAAAGCCGGACTGAAACATATCAAATGAGTTGTTGATTATAAGAAATCTAGTAAGCTGTAGGTAGACAACTTTCTCAAGGACTTTCCCCATAAATGGCAGATTTGAGATGGGACGATAGTTGTTAAGTACCGTAGCATCCAGACTGCTCTTTTTTAGCAGGGGCCTGATGACTGCAGTTTTCAGGGCCTTTGGGAATATTCCAGAATCAAGGGACATGTTTACTATCTGTGTGAGTGAAGGTAACAGACTGCTCAGAACAGACTTTAGAAATCTAGTGGGTAGTACATCCAGGCTGCATGTGGAGGAGCTCAAACTGGAGATTATCTCTTGGACAGTTTGATCATTTACAGGTGCAAAGTAAGTTAGCTCAAAGAGCCTTTCTGGCTGTTGGATTGTTATCTGTGGATTGGAGACAATGGCGTTTTTGATGCCTTGAACCTTGTCAAGCACAGCACAGCACAGCAACCTTGTCAAGCACAGCACTGAGAGCAGTCTCAGTGCTGTGGTGGGGTCTAAAGCCGGACTGAAACATATCAAATGAGTTGTTGATTATAAGAAATCTATTTAGCTGTTGGTAGACAACTTTTTCAAGGACTTTCCCCATAAATGGCAGATTTGAGATGGGACGGTAGTTGTTAAGTACCGTAGCATCCAGACTGCTCTTTTTAAGCAGGGGCCTGATGACTGCAGTTTTCAGGGCCTTTGGGAATATTCCAGAATGAAGGGACATGTTTACTATCTGTGTGAGTGAAGGTAACAGACTGCTCAGAACAGACTTTAGAAATCTAGTGGGTAGTACATCCAGGCTACATGTGGAGGCGCTCAGACTGGAGATTATCTCTTGGACAGTTTGATCATTTACAGGTGCAAAGTAAGTTAGCTCAAAGAGCCTTTTAGGCTGTTGGATGGTTATCTGTGGATTGGAGACAATGGCGTTTTTGATGCCTTGAACCTTGTCATTGAAAAAATGTGCAAACTCATTACATTTACGTTTGGAAGTTAGCTCTAATGGCATCTGAACAGGGGGGTTTGTTAATCTATTAACTGTTGAAAACAGAACACGCAGATTGTTGCTGCAGCCTTCAATCATTTCAGAAAAATACCTTTCTCTCGTACTACGTAGCACCTGGTTAAACTCGCACAACTTATCTTTGAAGATCTCGTAATCAACCTGGAGGTTGGACTTGCGCCACTTCCGCTCGGCCCTCCGGCACTCTCTCTTTTGTGCCCTGACCGAGTCTGCTTTAGCCCACGGCGCCTTCTGCTTATTTTTCACTATTTTAACCTTCACAGGAGCGATGGTGTCCAGAACATTCAAAACACTAGAGGTGACAGAGTTAAACAGTTCATCTACAGTAGAATACGATGCATTCTCAAGTTTATCATTCCCATAAATAGTTCACCCGTATTTTCATTTATGTGTCTTCTTCGTACAGTTGCAGAGTCCACTGGTGGTTTGTTAGTGAAACACATGTCAAAAAATACACAAAAATGATCCGAAAGCGGAACATCGACCACGTTTACATTTGAAATATTCACCCCCTTAGTAACTAACAGGTCTAGAGTGTGCCCTCTGCTGTGGGTGGGGCCACTCACATGCTGAGTGAGACCAAAAGATTCAAGAACAGAACTCAGCTCTTTTGCCTTTCTGTCAATAACATTATCCACATGAATATTAAAATCCCCTGTAATAACTAAGCTATCAAAATCTGTGCATAAAACTGAAAGCAACTCCGTAAAATTATCAATAAATCTGTGACATGACTGCGGTGGCTTGTATAGGACAATGAAGAGTATTGGACTAGATTGTTTTTGTTGTATTTTAAAAGACACATACTCAAAAGACGGAAACTTCCCAAGAGACATTCTATGGGAGACAAAGTGGTCTCTGAAAATGGCAGCTAAGCCTCCTCCTTTTTTGTTTCCCCGTATTTTAGATTCAAATTTGAAATTTGGTGGTGATGCTTCTATTAAAACTGCATTTTCTGTATTTTGGTCAAGCCATGTTTCAGCCATGAACATAAGATCTAGATTATAAGAACAAATAAAATTATTGATTAAAAAAGACTTGTTACAAAGAGATCTGACATTTAGCATAGCAAGTTTCAAAGTTTCAGTATCAGCGGTTGTGGTCGGCTGATTCTTACACGGAACAAGAATTAGATTTTCCTGATTAGACTGATTAACTTCAGATGTTTTTCTGTTATGTATTCTTTGTGTTATCACTAAGGGAATGGCACAGGTGGCTTCATGACAGGGCCCCAGCCGGGTCTCTCCTCTAACTAGACTGCCAGTGGCTGCGAAGCAGAGACCCTGTGCATCCTAGTGTTTAGAGACTTATTGTGATTTGAATTGTGATTTGAATTTGAAATAGTTCAGATTTATGCTGTTAGCTTGGAAAAAGGGGATTATGGGAAATTGGCTGAAATTGACAGTGAGTTTAAGGCTGTAAAGTGAAAAACGTGATTTTATTTGAAAAAATAGTTTCCAATCCCCAAGTTTTGTAATGCTTAATGTGTGTGGTACCTTTGTTCTACTTTATTGTTGTTGTTGTCATACAAAAAAAAATAAAAAAATGGGCAGAAGTTTCAATGTATAAAGTGAAACATTGTAATGTACATTTCAAGTCCTTTTATAGTAAGTAAGTAATCTTTATTTATATACCGCCTTTTCACTGCACATCGGAGTCTCAAAGCGGTTTACAATTGTTATTTTTTGGGAGCAGGGGTGCCAGTACAGGAGGCACATGCCAGACCTATTGTACATATTTTTAGTGGTAGGGGAAACCGGAGCACCCGGAGGAAACCTACGCAGACACAGGGAGAACATGCAAACTCCACTCAGAAAGGCCCTGGTCCAACCGGGATTCGAACCCAGGACCTTCTTGCTGAGAGGCGAGAGTGCTATCCACTCAGCCACCATGCCACCCGGTTATAAACACAATACATGTTAAATTAAGAAAAAAATCTTTCACCAATGTCATCAGACGTAAAAACCTAATTCTAATGATAAATAGTGCAGTGTTTTGTTACTTTGATCTATACTCCAGATCCAAAAAAAGTTTCACAGTTTATCTCCAAATATTTCCAAAGAAAATGGGTGGCATTACAGGATTAAATGACACAGGCACTTCATTCTAATTAGATAAATAAACGCAAAATAAAAATACATTGCTGCAGTATTTACCAGCAGCTGTTGAGCCATAATGAGGCGACAGAATAAATCACCTGTGTAACAAATGAAGTATATTAGCGGATAATGGAACGCAGCTCCCCGACTGTTCAACAATCTGACTAATGCACTCATGGTACAGTGAGGCAGGAAGATTGGCTGTACGCGTCCATATTAGGAAACGGGATATGAATGTGATATACACACACATACCATTGCTACTCTTTATTTAGTGAAATACAGTGGAAGCTATCAAACTTCTACTTTTCTGTCATTATGCTTTGCTATAGATCCTGTGCTTGCATACGAGTCCTTCATAACGTCCAACTAAAAAAAACAAAAATACTAAAAATATTACCATTTTTGAAATAACTGAAAACATATAATTATTTTGTATTGGGTTTTAGACATATGGCCAATCTTTTATTTTGTTCACAATATAGATTTCTATATACGTACATCAGGGGTCTCCAACCTTTTTCAATCGGAGAGCTACTTTTATACAACAGAAGAGGCAGAGAACTATTCTCCTTTTTGCAGTTGTAATACAAATTGATCTAATAATTACGTACGAAAACACATGTCAAACACCATGATACTGTATAAACCTATATCTATACTTATGATAGATGTGTAATGACTCATAATGTATTCATTCAAGATCATTTGTTAAATTCTAAATTCTTTGGCGAGGTACCTGAAAGGGGCTGGCGAGCTACTCGGAGCTCCCGAGCCACAGGTTGGAGACCCCTGATGTACATGTTTTGAAAAGTGGTTGTGTATTGTTTGCAGTCATGGGGAGTTTCGAGGAGGGCGAGCGCTCTCAGTCCGTCTCCCAGGGCAACGGCGCAGTCATCCCAGCTCCGCGGATCCGCAGTTATCCACAGCCTCAGGTCACGTGGTACAGAGACGGACGCAAGATTCCCCCCAGCAGCCGCATGTAAGTCCCACCAGGAGGATCGTCACTGCATGGATTATAATCTGACAATTTTCACAGTTTTACATAATGTGAATGAGAAGAATAATCCTTACATGCTGTTTACATGACTTGGATGATTTTGGGTCTATTTCTATTTTTTGCTCATTGCTGTTGCTTTCTCTTATTGTTAATACTTTATACAAGCTCTTGTGTTTTATTGTATTGTTCGACACATTTGTGGAAAAAGATTTTGGATGTTCCCGTCGTTTTCTGGCACTCTCCCTGTTCAAAAGTTCAAACGTTTCAAATTTGACAGAGAATGTTTCTTTAGAGAGATAGATTAATAGATAGATGGATACTTTATTGATCCCTGTAGAAAGAATTCAGGTGTCCAGTAGCAGCAGAAACACAACCATCCATACAAACAACACAAATAGATACATAATTCGAAAATAAGCTAAAAACAGTATTAAAATGTATTCAAATGCAACAGTACTATAGGTCAAAGCAGAAGTAGCCTCTGGGAAGGCAAAATGACAACTGTATGATTGATTATATACTGTACATCCTGATTTATGGATGGTAACTCATTAGGAAAGGGAAGTTTATTTCCATAGCACAGTTCAAACACAAGACGAGTCAAAGTGCTGAAGAAAAATAGGAAAAAACAACAACAAGGCAATACAATCATGAATAAATGACAGTTCATTAAAAGTGGAAGACAAAATCCTTTAGTTGTGCACTGTCTCACATCTTCAATCAATCCATCAATCAAATCAATTTGTTTGTAGCGTGCTTTTCGTACACAGAGTAACACAAAATGCTGCACAGAAATATCTCATTAGGCATACATCAGTACATAAATTAAATTAAATTCACACAGAGCATTAAAAACAAACATCAAGATCACATTTTCAGGAAGACTGCTACAGATTTTAGCGGCAAAAATCTTGAATGCTTCCCCCCTCCTTATATTCACTACTTATATACACGCAATTCCCGTAAGTTTGGTTTAAGAAATACATTTATTATAGCAAATGTTAAAAGCTACTTTTGGTTGAGACTGTGGAGAAGCAGCATTGTTAACCATGTTTGCAGAAGCTAAGCTAGCCGGACCTGTTATTTGGATGGAAACTGAATTTATTAGGTTCCACACTGGGGAGAAGTGACTACATACTACAACTGCACACTCTCCCGAATTATACCAAGAGAGGTGAGCTGTGGCTGCAGAGAGCGAGAAGATTTTTAAATCATGTATTATATTAAATCAATGCAAAATATGAGAGATTGAGCCTATAGATTAATGCTATAGCCTACCTGTGGTTTTGTTTCTTGGTGTGCAAGACTTTTCAGCTGCTGCCACAAAACATCTTTTGATTTAAGACGAGTATATCAAGAGCAGTCAATTTTACACTGTTTACTTAATAGCAGTTTAGTAGAATTTAAAATGATTTTTTTCTGTATTTCAAGTCACATTCACCAGTTTTAGCACTTATTATATGAGAAAACCTTGACATTTTCTGAATATTAACCAAAGTAACGAAACACTAAAAATGGGACCCATAAAAAAATAACTGCTCAGGCGTTCCAGTAGTTACAGAAATCTTGTGTTAAATGCAAAATTGATTTTTTAGCACAGTCCGAGCCACTACCCTATTGTACTGTAACTAAATTCACAACCTAATATCCACCTTTATAGCTTGTTTTTCAGTCAGCCAAAAGTATTCTAAATTTGAACGGAGAGTGTTTGAAGTTGTATTTAGTCCCATTAAAACACCCGAATGGTAATCTCGACCAAGCACAAGCACTATTCCCTTTTCTCTGTCATTCTAATCCTTGATAAATCCTGCTTCTATTCCCTAACATTTATCATCAATCCTCATTTGGACTCTTTTTGTCTCACTGCAGTATTGGATAGTCTTTTAGCGAACACATCAAAGCGGCGTAAAATGGTCCGAGCGTTTTGTTTTTCTCCACTCTTCCTCACCCAAACAGACCAATTTTACCTGTGCAGCGTCTTCTTCACCCCTGTCGCTCCTAATTCGCCGGGAGGAGGGCGAGAGCTGTCTTGGGTCACCTGTGTCCCCGCCTGGTGGGACTAGCAGGCTGCGGTGGCCCTGACAGACTGAATTGGAATGGTTGTTTTTCGCCGCCATTGTCGTTATTTAGAGAAAAAGAGGAACAAAGTAGGAGGCATGCAGGAAAATAGCCTTGTTTGTGTGGGAGCAGCCTCAAAGGGCCTTGCAGGGGGCCAACCTTAAGGGCTGCTTTAAATGAGTAGCTGTGATACAGGGTTATCAATATGTGCCAAAGACGGAAGCAACTGTGTGCGTTGTTGTCTGGCTGACAGTAGGAGTGGCTGGCTGTCCAATCACGGCTATAAGAAATGATTGTATGTATTCAATTTCAATCCGATGGATAATTGTATCGTTATCTCGGAGGACTTAACAAAACCATTGAATTTGCCAATACAGATCAGAACAGAACGGTTCAAACACAAAGAAATGCAAAGTCCACGAGGGGCAGATGACCAAGGACCAATGTTCATCAATGTTTTTGTATTTATTTATTTGATATGGACATAATTGGACGTTGGACAGACCAGAAGCATTGACTTGGGCGGCACAGTGGCTGAGTGGATAGCACTCTCGCCTCTCAGCAAGAAGGTCCTGGGTTCGAATCCTGGTCGGACCAGGGCCTTTCTGAGTGGAGTTTGCATGTTCTCCCCGTGTCTGCGTAGGTTTCCTCCGGGTACTCCGGTTTCCCCAACCACTAAAAACATGTACAATAAGTCTGGCATGCGCCTCCTGTTCGGCGACCCCGCTCCCATCTCTGTGTGGAGTGAGAGAGAAATGCCCAAAAAAAATAACAATTGTAAACCGCTTTGTGACTCTGGTCTGTGAAAGGCGGTATATAAATAAAGATTACTTACTTACTTACTTACTTTAGTGTGATAGCAAGACCATGCTGATTGTCAATACTTTTCCATAGGAGTCTTTTAGTGGGTTTAGAAAGTGGGTTGCCATATTTTCAGCCTATGAAAATCCTGCAAATTTCCATGACTAAAAAATAGCCTGGCTCTTGGCCCAACATTATGTTTCACTTTGTATGTGGATAATAGACCTGTCTATGGTCCAACACAATATTCAGCTCACCCAAAGAAGGAAGGTCTAAGAGCACAGGGAATGGTATGAGAATTTTAATCCTCATCATTAAGCCACCTGTAAAGTTTAACAACATTTACATTGACGCAAACCATCACTGGTTTATTTAGTTGTCACAATAAACAAGATTTTTTGGATAACACAAATCAGAGCATTAAGCGCTGAAAAACTATAGCTTAGTAGCAACTATGATAGCATCTTAAAAACTCATTATTTATAAGTAAAGTCAGCTTTTAGTATTCCACTTCAGTCATATCTATATTTTCTATCCTGAAGGTGAAAAAGCAGTGTGTGTCTCTGTGTGCGTTAAAAGACACTTATCCGGCTCCCATCACATCTGCATCTGGGCTCAGTGGGAGGTGACCTTGCCCTGGGTAAGACTGGATCTTCCTTATCAGCTCCTCATCATCAGTAATCACAGGCTGACCCGGAATGACAATGAGAGGCGCGCTGTCCGAGCTGATTGAGCTGCGTGGAGGCCAGCCTGGGCTCCGGGTCTCTGCCTCTCCAATGTGGGTTTCTCAATTTCACTGGGGAAATGGAAAGTTCACCATCTAATCAGATTATTTACGCTGCCAGAAGAGGAAAAAAAGAAGGAAAAAATAAGGTTGATGAAAGCATGTGATTGTAAAATGGAATTTGATTTGACTGTGCTACATATTATCTGCACGGGAAAGTGGTGAGATTCGTATACTCAGGAAGAAGGTCCTGGGTTTGAATCCTGGTCCACATGGAGTCTTTTTGAGTAGAGCTTGCCGCCAGTGGGTCAAAAGGGTCCATGAGCACGTGCGCTGAAAAAAAAGGAATATTCTGCTATTGAATTACAGAAAACAAGACGTACAGTATGTGTAGTGCCACTTACAGGACACATACATAAGGAGATGTTTCTGTGCAAAATTAACTTTTTTGAGCTTTTAACCATGTCACAATATTGTTCCATGAAAAAAAAAAAAGTTTTGAGTGGATCTCGAGTTGATCCATCCATCCAAATATTTGGAACTTCTGACATAAACATATAACTCTGCCTCCTATGATAGTGGGTTTTTTTAAACTTTCAAAACAAAAGTACTGGCCATGAGTTAGTTTTGGTCATTTCTTATGAGAAATTGAGTTATTTGCAATCACATGGGTGTGGTTGAAGCTGGCAATTTAAAAAATTGGGAAAAAAACCAGCATGAATTCTACGTTTCCCTCTGGTGGTAGAAGAGGAATAGTGCTGATGGCAATGTTTAACTTTTACACTTGTTTTAACACATGTTTTGTACAGTACTAAAGATAGTATTTCACATTCTAAAACATGAAATGACCAACTAAATGGTCTCATTATAATAATACATTAAATAATGTATAATAATATTTCTTCTTTAAAGACTCACACAGAGACGGTTGTGTATGCCATGAACCAGCTTTAAACAATTAATGCAAGTAGGTTGACTCAAGAATTGCAAGTCATATCTGGAGCATTCCAACTCTCTTGTTTTACATTAATTACCTCCACTTTGCTGTCGCCCTGTTTTCCAGCAACATTCATCCTCCCTTTATATATTTTTCTTTTCGTTTTTCCCCTCGCGCTCTTCTTTTCTCAATTATAGACAACCCGCTGTGCGTCGTTTGCCTTTCTTCATCCTCACTTAGTCGCCCCCAGCTCTCAGAATGCAAATTTCTCTCCCAACTCCGCACCAAGGTCAGTGTGTGCAAATGAGCACAGTTGATAACAGACTGGGGTTTTTATTGAAAATCATTTAATTGAATTTGATTAATGCCGCGAGCCGTGACTCTGCAGAGGCATCAAAGTCCTGCTTGTGGGTAGAATTTGCGCAGAGAAAAAGGACACGTCGAAAGCTATGTTTAACTCCC